GCATATGACATAAAGGATAAAATCCTAGGGTCAGAATTTTAAAATTCTCTCCCTTAACCCTGAGGTTGTAAGAGTAAATATCCCCTCGGGAAGGACAAGCTGCAGATGTGTAAAGCACTGTAAAGAGAATCTAATATGAAGAAGAATCCAATACGTTTAACCCTAGGCCACCTGCAAAGCAGCTGTGAATGTTAGCGGGACGTGTGCTGACTTCACCTTTGTTACCTTTATTCTCTCCCTTCTGCTCTCCTTCAGGTACGTCCATATGGCCTCATTGCCTTCTGCACACACTTCTACTGGGGGGTATCCCATGGGGTTATTCACCAGGGTCAGGACCCGGAGATGCTCGAGGCTGTCCAAATCCTCGGGAAGACGAGTGAGCAAGTTGTCCTCCAGCAGCGGCACTCCCAGACCTGGAAGGATTTCTGTTTCAAGTGGTGAATTTCTCTTAGAAACGAGCAATAATAACTTGATACCTCGCCCTGCTCAGGTACGTGAGGGATCCACCTCTGCATGTAGACTAGGAATGAGCACAAGCGTGTGCAAGAAATGATAGGGCCTTTTGTCCATCCACTAAAAGGCTTGTTACTATGTCTGTTCTTCCTCACAATAGACAGAACAGAAATGCATATTGAAATATATTTATAGCAGCAGTGGCAAACTAACAGCAAAACTGGCAAACGTCCCTGAGGTCACCACTGTTTGGAACAACAGACTCTGGAGCCTTTGGATGGGACACTTATCACCTGTGGGCCTTGCTAGTCCCCGTTATTGCTCCAGCCTTGGGCACATCAATGTGACCTCCTGATCACTGAAGACAGTGGAATGAGGGGCACCTGGCTCACACAGTCCTGCTGCTCTCAGATGAGCAAATAAATTACTTTTGAAGAAAAATAGCCTAATATAAATAGAAATGTCTACATTCCAAAACAGCAAAAACGTATAAAAATAATTATTCCCTCCTCACCAGCCTTTCCACATCTTTTTTTTTTTTTTTTTTTTTT